GTTAGTCTGAATTAAGGCATTACATACAAACATAAGTTTGTACAAAATATGAGGCCATGAAGAATCAGACCAAATATTTCAGTACACTTTGGTGTACTAAAATAATTGAGATGCAAGCCATCCTTGTCCTGTGTCATTCATTGAAGATCTGTGACAAGTAATTGGGAGTGCTTCATGTCAAGATACATGGTGATACTGTGAAAGTTAGGCTGCCATTACTTGTGTTTTCTTTAAAAGTGCTATGTGATCATCTTCCTCTGACAAAGAAGCTTTCACTGGCTTGTCTCAAGAATTCATATGCCCTGACTTCAAGCACAGGGTGAACTTTTCACATTTCTTTAATTTGTGTGTTTAAATAAACACATTTATTTTTTTAAAGATTTGTTTAAATACTAATACACATGTTCAGTAGCTTAACTTCCATTGCAACTTCACCTGGCATCCAAAAGTGCCTTTCTCTGAAGGTACAAATCATTATTATGCTTTGCTGTACAGATTTAAGAAGAAATGCTGATACTTAGGCTGTGCACATTTGACTAGAGAAATTTAGCTTCTCATTTAGTTACAAAGCTGCCTTACAGAATGTTGATCTGCAATGTGTTTCCAGAGTACCGTGTTTTTTTCCATCTGTATGTGGAATCTCACCAGCTTTTGCATGAATGCTGAGAAGAGCCTTCCTAGACCCCTTACTGGATTCTTTGCACAGGATAGGAAAAAAGTTCTCCACAATTCCTAATTGCATTTGTGGTATTTTGTCTGACAGCATGCCCTAAAGCAGTGTAACATGGCATAATGTGTTGGCCTAAAGCCTCAGAGGGAGAGTTCTGAATAGATAAGAGCTTCACTCCAGAACGTGCCACTCTCCAGGTGGCTGCAGGGCTCTCAGCCACGCTGCATGTTAACTGCATGCTGTAGTCCCTTTACTCCTGAGCAAGGCTTCAAATAAAAATCACTCAGTCTCTTTTGGAATCTTTGAACTGATTTCTTTGCTAGAAAATTTCCCCTAGCACTGGTTTTAAAGAAAGAAAGGTAAGTCTCTGTGTAGTCACCTGAATTTTATCATGAAATTCTTGTTTCTACTAGAATAGGTGTTCATTCTCAAATAATGCTTTGCCAGTACTTTGTCTAGAAGGGCACAAGAATTAAACCAAGGCACAGACATCCATTCAGAGATACGCAGTTTCCAGTTAACAGAAGTGGTAGGTGGTACCGGGTATAAACTGTTATGACACCATCCCATATATAAAGAAAACTGCATATTTAATAGCTGCAGATATTTGTGTGTGATACTTGTGTGCTGTTTTACTTCAGAAAGCGAACATTAATTCCACAAAAGTAAGTGTGTGTAAAAATACTTTCAATAACTTTGTCTTTTTTTTTTTTCCCTTCAGTTTGCCCTGCTGGTTGGAAACCTGGCAGTGAAACAGTAAGTCACTAGTTATATTTAAATGCATGTACTACTAGAAAACACTCAGTTATCATTTCCACTAAGGCTAAATCCAAAGTCTTTGCAACTTTCAATGAGATTGAGTAAACTCACATTATTATAGTTACAGCTTTTGGATTACTACTGATTTCATTAGGAGCTCGTTTCCCTCACACTGGACATATTCCAGTCATTTCACATTCCCTGCGTATGAACAAAACTCTCTTGAGCAGCACTGAATTCGTGATCAAGAACTTTTTTGCCTGTTAACACCTGATGAGAGGTAGTTGGAAACTCAAGTCTGCCCTATCTTAGTTACTTGTCCATATAAATTCTTGGTTCTGTTAAGCCTCACTGTGAATTCTAGGCACTATCCAAAAAAAGAAAGATCCCAGTTCCCAGGCTGCTGTAGTATCTGACAGAACCAGTGTGCCACTATCAGAACTCCAGCAGAGAGCACTGCTTTGCTGCGCAATAGCTCTTCCTCCATTGTTACTACTCGCCTCCATGTGGTTAGAAGCAGAAGAGCTGGGGTTCAGATAAACACCCATTGAACTTGTTTGTGTTCTCTGGCTTGGATCAAGCCTCAGCAGAATAATGAAACTTTCACCAGAGGTCTGAGCCGCCTAGATGATCACTGATGAGATCACTGTCATTTTTTAGAGCATGTGACTTTCTTTCTGAACCATCTGCTGATAACAGAGCACTGTTGTTTAAGAGATGTCTCAACAAAAAGCAGGTCCCAGCAGCCTCTAAGGAGAGTAGTGAGCATTGTGATTGATAGTAAAAACAGTGGAATGTTAAACCGTGTTTCTTTGCTGGATGTGAAAACTTCCCAGGATGACTGGAGGCTAGGAGTCATGTCTTTCAAGCTAGCAGAGGAATGTCTTAGCCGGGGGGGGGGGGGGGGAAGCGGGGTATGGGGGGGGGGGGGGGGGAAGCTGGATATTAAGACTAAAAGAGGTCTGGGTGGCCTAACAGAGACATTCTGGCACTGAAAAGTTGTGCTCTCCATAACCATGGATCACCTAAATACTTAATACAACATTAACATATTTTCTAAAAAACGGTCTTACAATGGTGAGACTAACAGCTTCAATACTATCAGTTTAAAAACAGCGCATAAGCATTCTCCTTCTCCTCTGTGCAGAAGATGCAGATAATTTAAATAGCAGAGTATTTCAAAAAGCCTTTCTCAAAGATGGAGCCTTGCCTTCTAAATATGTTTGATTTAATTAGATCAAACCAGAGGAAGCCATGAGAGTGTGGTGGCCAAGGGAAGAACTGTAAGTAAATTCTAAGACTCTTGATTACAGATGTTAATTTATTACAATATCTTGCTTTTGGGGGAAGCAACATAGATGTATGTGCTCCCAGCTGTCAGAATTCTTCCTTTGGTAGGCTGCACTCTCTCTTCCCCCAATCAGTTAAATCTTTCTGCTGCTGCTGTTAGGTACCTTCAGAGATAAACAGTAATCTAGTATCAAGTCAATTGATTAATTACTCTTCAGTGTTGCTTGTGGGTTGGCCTCAGCATCATATTATTAAATACTATGCTGTTTTGGTTTTATAGTTTGTTGTGTTTGTATATTTTTGTTTTTAGACTAACATTTTCATTTTCTTTCTTGCACAGATAATTCCAGATCCGGCTGGAAAACTGAAGTATTTTGATAAACTAAACTGAGGCTCACTTCTGTTCAATTACATAGGTCACATTCAACTTGATTTTTGCCAATAAAATTTCATTAATTTTGTTACTTTCATGAGTTTGACTAATATGTAACTGCAGTAGGCCATTAAAGGTATTGTTGCTTAACAGGAGTCTAACCTGTGTGAAGCACGAGTACCTCACTAGTTATTGGAGAATATGCTTATGAAATACGTTTTCCCTCTAAGTCTTGTTTAGATGCTTGGTTTTCCCAAAAATTACTTCTCTTAGCATCTCAGGCTTAGATTCATAACTTTTGCTATTGATAGATTTCTTAATTTCTGCAAAAATTTTGTCTGCTTGGTCACATTCTAGGAGCTCCAGCCAAAAAAGAGCCACTTGGTTATGGTACATTAGTCTGTAGTCCAGAGGCAATAGCAGCTAACCCGAAAGCCAGAAATAAGTTATAGTTGCTGAATTAAATTTCCAGTCTATCCAAAGCCAGAAAACAACTACTAAGAACATATCCTACGCTACATAAATCAGTCCAACTGCACTGAATACAGATATGCCAGTTCATGTGATTGAAGAGTTCAACTAGTAATTTTTTCCATGTTTGTATTTATTTGCAGTGTATATACTGATAAGATCAATTCCATTTCACACTGTCTCATTTTTTTCCCCAGCCCTACACTGTTAACAGATGTACATAGTGGTTGGTTAGTGCCCTGTGCTGATCCACTCATTTAACCGTGGTTGCTAGTTTTAAGGGAGTGATTGTAGTCTTTGCCAAGATCCGTATTGACATGTCCAGTGATCATCAGAAACTCTTGTGACTCATGTACATGAATTTTTTTTATTTCATGGGAAAATAACATCTCCCTGTAAGACATACTTTGTACTTGTGTGCAGTGGAGAACTATTTCATAAGAATGTCTTTTCTCACTTCTTCCCACCTCTTCCTCTTCTTAACATGGAGTCCTAGAATCTGTGCAACTGGAAAAACAGCACCTGAAGTCAGTGTCAGCTCTTCACCAGGGTCATCCTTGAGAAGGACACAGAGAAGGCTTCCTCCCTTCTCCAGTCCAGCACTGCTACGTTATTACTCTTGGTTGGATCCCACACTCATGAGAACTTGCTTCGCCTTTCCCTGCCAGACCATACATTTCCCTTCCCTATACCCAAACGCTTCAGTACAGTTCTGCAGAACTAGACCAGCGGTTGCGTTTTCACTGTAAAGTTACCTGATTTTGTAGACTTTGGTGAGTATTGAGCCGCTCCCCAGATGTAGTCAGTGCGGACAGAGAGCAGAGGCAGCTGCTTGACTTCTGTTTCAGCTCTGATGCAAATAAAGCCTAAGCATGTGCCTAGGGCAGAGGGACTCACAGCCAGAGCAGGCACATCTCTCACCAAGTCCCAGCCCCACCGTCCCTGGGAGGCCTGGGGAAAGGAGGAGCTCCTGATCCCATCCAGAGGGTAATGGAGGCACAGCGGGACCAACGCCAAAGGCAGCTGGTAACATGCCCCTCCAGCCTGTGGGATCTCAAAGACCAGAGGGCAGCATGTAGACAGGCAGGTTCTCACAGTACCAGGTTGTAAATCAGCTGCTTGAATTTTACTCAGGATTTTGTTTACAGCCTTTATCAACCCTGAAACATGAACAACATCAACACAGAGAATGTTCAAATAACTCCAAGCAACTGCAGCGTGACGAGTGCAAACCCAGCTATTACACGGCTATTCATAAGCAGCCCAAGGCACAAACCAAACCTAACACTTGGGACTGCCTTAGAAATGGCCCACTTCTTCAGAGGCTTTGCCTGCCTCTCCAGCCATGAGTAAGGAATTTTACTATTTTTTTTTTAAACACCAAAAAATAAAAACTTGAAGCGCTTTTTTCAGGCATTGAGCTCAGCCAGTCCCACAGAAACTTTTTTATATCACCATTAAGTGAGAGGGTTAGGGGAGACAATCCAGCTACCACAGACTTCCTGCTCCCCATGGTATTCCAAAATATGAGGGGCACAAAAACATTTACTTTCCACTACAGAGCCACAGCCAATTACACAGATAGGTTCACACCAGCACCTTTGGGCTTGTGTGGTAATGCTCAGACACAGCAGTGACAGGCTGGTCACAAATTTGCCATATAAACTCAGCATTAATTACTATGTTAAAATATTTTAATTCTTAATGTGAGATCTGAGAACAATTTTATCTTGCACACAAAGGTATGCAGCGATGTGCATAATTTCCTTGAAGGAAGATGCATTTAGCCTATTATCAAAGAGCATGACAACTTGGGAGTTATCTTTTCAGAATAAAAAATACGTGAGAACATACTCTATATATTTCTGTTTATTACTATATATATGTTTTACATATGTATAAATATACACACATTCTGTATGACTGTACATACATTTCTGTAACTACTGTGATTGTGGTATGTGGTTAAGTTATTATGAACTTTGAAAACACACTAATTCTTCTAAGCATCTTCACTTGCAGGATTCATTTTCTTCACTGTGTCCAGAGGTTCTGATGTCACGTCTTGCTCCCTACTCTATTACCTCTTTTTCTCCTCTCCAATCCCTTCCCCAAGGCTGAATTTAGAAATTTTGATAAATTCATATTTAAGTACAGCTGAAAAAGCAGTAGAGGCAGAACTTGGTACCTATCCCCTTACCTTACAAATGTTATACACAAGTGTCCCAGGTAGGACCACTGGGTCAATGATAAAAACCTGCAGATAATCAGGAGTAACACATAGTTCTGAAATAGATCCCTCCACTTCCTGCCTTCCTATCTATTTTTTAATAGGCAACAGTGAGGGGGGAAGAAGCAGGGACAGAATTTCAGTTCTTTATCTGTGTGGTCAAGCTTCCAAAGAGTTTTAAAAAGGAGAAAAACAGAAAATGCAATATATATACACAGTGTCATAACCATTAAAGAAGAAGATTATAACATCATGCAGCTGAATCAGCACTGGAGCGTGGCTAAAGAGACAAACTGTGCAAGGAACCAGGAGCTTACTATCACTGCAAGGCACTAATCTGATCCACATCAGGCAATGCCCCTATGCCTCCACTGGAAGACTATCTAATATAGAAATACAGGCAGCCAAATCTGAGAAAGGAAAGGCTGATGTGTAACATGCTGGTTATTACAGTGCTCACTCTCCTCTCCTCATGTGAGCAGCAATCAGCTGTTAGGAGCCATGAACACACTATGCTAGCACCAAAGGAAGTTGGTCCTAACTGAATTTCTCAAACTTTCTTTTCTTCTCTGAAATAAAATTTCAACATGGTGCTTTATTCTATCAACCTGTTTCATGCATCTGTGCTGATTCACATAATTTCTACTTGCTACTTCCTGATTTCAGAAGATTTTAAACCTAGCAGGGAAGCTGGAGTCTATCACTGTGTATTGTAAGACATCATGTTTCATCCATTTAACCTACTAGTAAGCCCAACTACTCCTCTTTGGGTGTCTAGATCAGACAGGATATCAGTCTTTATTTGAAGGTACCAGAGGTCCAGTTTTGTGCTTGTAACTTATCATCCTCACTGCTAAAAGCTGATGCCTCCCATCCACTCACCTTCCTAATTTCAGGATGTTGGGCTTTTTATCTGCCAGATAGTGGAGATTATTAAAACCTTCTCTACTACATCAGAAGCACTTCAGTATCAAGTACTTTCTTCCTGATACTTATATGCCATGGTTATGTCCACCATGGTGTCCCTTCTGTGGTGGTGAACTACTCTGTCCTTTACAGGTAAACTTGACAACCTTTAAAGTTGTACAATACTCATATTTCATTACTGTCTACCAAGGAACCAGACAAATACTCCCGCTGAAGAGGCTGTCCTCTAGCCGTACCAGGCCTTAGGGGGATAAAAATCCTCCCACCATTCAGCAGCTGACTTGAGAGCTGCTCAGCACAGATTCTCTGGACCCCTGACTCCAGCATCAAACACAAACATTCCCATTTGAGCAGCATTTTACCTTTCCTGTTCCCAATCCCTAACAAACCAAAGTGTTCTGCTCTGCAATGCCATTTCCCAGTCCCACCCAATCTCACCAATCATTCTCTACTCTACACGCCATGAGAAATAATTCATTAAGAAACTCACTTACAGTTATACTTCCCCCCGAAAAAAAAAAATAGTTAGAGGAGGCTGGCAAGAACTGGCTGTACGCAAATAGAATGCCAGAAGAGACCATCTGGCCACCTCATTTAATTGAAAAAAACAGTTTCCTCCCAAGGGAACATGAAACCATCCAAAACAGAAGCTGCAACAACCTTATAAAATTCCATCTGATGGGAAACACCTGCTTTACATTGCACACACACTAGTAACTTTTGAGCATATGCTGCTGCCAAGATGCATGTGTCCTTGTTAAAAAAATAATAAGACTCTAAACCTGATTTACACAAGAATGTAGGTCAAATGGCTTTGTCTCTGTCTATCTACTTATTGCACACATTCTTCTGATAGAACCTCTATCCCTTATCAGGGAAACACAAAGGAGAGCTACAAAGGGAAAGAAGGCAGATGGTGACAAGACAACAAAACTCGTAATGAGATTTCTCAAAGCAAAGAGAAGCATTCTAAAGTTTAAGATTGTATTTTTTCAGCCTTTTTTCCTAACACTGGCATGTAAAAGTAGATTTCAACAAATCCTAGCAGCAGAGAATAAAAAATCCAAATATACGCAAATACATAAATAGCACTGAAAAGGTATTTTTCTGTTGTGGGGTTTGGTTTGGGGTTTTGTTTTGGGGTGGGTTTTTTTTAGTATTGCAAGCACCTGTCTGTTAGCTGTCTCTTATGACAACTCTTTCCAAGGCAGCATGCTGCTATACTGCTGATGCAGTGTTCAATGGGTGTCAGATTTCTTTCATGACTGCAGCAAAGTGTCGCTTCCCATCTAAATACAACATGGACTCTGAAATAAGGTGGAGAAAAGAGAGAACCACATTAGTAACTTGGTATCAGTACTGGGCAACTACACAGAATGGTAAGATTAAGCAGCAATCCACAGTGTCAAAGCACAAAATAAGTGTGGGTTGCCATGAAATCCCATTGAATTATTAAAATG